CCCCCCCCTCCCCTAAAATGAAAAGAAATGCCATGAAAACCCTTCCTCACTTCACTTTTCTCTGACAAAAGTAAAGCCACATAAACCACCAGCATACGTTTTATTAGAGTGTCCGGGCCCTACTCTACCTGAGGCCGTGCTGAAGCAGTCTGGTCAGAAACATGTCCACAAAGAAACATTTCCCTGTCTCGGTACATTTCAGAGCCTCTTCCACTTCCATTGTGGCAATATATCCAAACGCTAGGGCCAGAAAAGCAAGTACAGACTGCTGATCCAGGTTGAGATTTTGACTCAAGCCTTCGTTGAGCCATGAGGGGCGTGTCAGAGCTGACTCCTTTGGGGTCTCGGAGGTCGGAATGATAAGTGATGGGATCTAAGGGCAGAAAAGAAAATAGAAAAAGAAAAAAACAACATGAAAGAACATATTATAACTTCCCTCATCTCCCAGTGGAGTTTTGTTTTTCAGTGGTTATGTAACAAAGAATTCATAATAAACATGACAATGACTACAAAATAGCACATCATTGTGGGCCTTCACTCTACCGAGCTCTTACATAAAGGATGAAGAATAATCACCTATTTGAAAATCTGTGTACTGACATTGCTTGACATTCTTCACAAACCCTTTGATATAACTTGACTGATGGAGTTACCAATCCAATTTTCTTACAATAACAGACCTATTCACAGTTTTTTCTTTCCTTTCACTTACACAGTGTTGCGACTAGTTCTGCAAAATAGCTTTATGCCATCAGTGTATGGCCTTTTGCATCTAAACAATCTTATTCTATTAAATCACTATGATAATTAATGCCTCGTTATAGAAATTCACCCAAACAACATAAAACATACATTAACACGCACACATACCAAAATTTAAGAAAAAAAAAAAGAAGCAAACAAAGGGTCGTAACGGCAGATGTGTCATTTTTCATCACATAATAAACAAAAGAAGTAACCAAGAAGCTAAGGGACAGGAGCTGAGTTGCGCCCCTTGAAATTCGCCACAGAAACTTAACATCAGGTTCAGGCAAAGATCACACTATTTGAAACTGGACAAAAATGAAAACATCTATATATAGAGTTTCAAAAGGATGAACAGTAATTTAAAAGAAACAAAAAAGGGAGATCAGTTACAGGGAAACAAAAGTGAGAGCAAACATTGGAGATCCACAAACCAGTGCACTCCCCTGTTCCTTCCCAATAGCCAGCTTAATCATGATGAGAGCATTCATGGCACTGCAGCAACGACAGTCTAACAGGAACAATTCTGAGGGAAAAGAATAGCTATGGTTGAAGCTCAAAATACTGATGAACAGTAGTTTTCATGTGTAACCGCAATATTGTAAAAAAAAACATTGTGTAACTGGATGATGGACTGAAGATCGGATAGAGAAATCAAGCACAGCCTGATATTTTTAGGGCATACACGTCAGATTGGAGAGAGGTCAGTTGGGATGCAGAATCCCTTTGAAATTTGCCGCCGTGTGGGATTAAACTTTGAATAAAAAATTGTAAAAAAGTGAGGTAGCGTGGTGAAATCAGGTGCTCGTCAAAATACAGAAATAGGAGAAACAGGCATTTTCTTGAAAGTTTGGAAATTTTTATCAAATTTATATTTTGGGGATCAACCTCTTTCATGTTCATATAAAAACATATTTCCAAGAGAATTTTACTGAAAAACATTGATTAAAGGCACAAAATATGTCATTTTTCTGTTTTCAAGGATTCTTTAGCTATAGGAGTTACCAAACTTTGGCGGCCATTTTCTCGCTAATTTCACCACTAAAACCAGGTGACCTCACTTCCTTCAATTGCAAATGTCTTGAGTTCTATTCAAGATAGACAATTATTTATTTAATTGAAAGCAAGGCAAATAAATCAGCTTCCATAAGAAAAAAAATTGACGAGCGCCTGATTCCACCGCATCGTGACAAAAATAATTATGGCAGCTGAAAACTGATTTCATTTTCCAAATCAGCACATTAAAATAAGAAAAGTGGACTGTGAGTAACTGGATGCGATGCGATATTTAAACTTTAGCAAACATGCTTTTATTTTTCAATTGATTGTCAATTGTCATGTATCAAGTTCACTCAGCGCGTTGTATATCAAACGTCAAAGCTTCTAAACACTGCACAGTCACATCAGCACTGACAACATAGTCAAATGGACCAGTTAAAAAGATAAGGAAAGTAACAGAAAAGAAAAAGAATCGACAATGAATGAAAATTCAAGCTACATTCGCGTACATAGTCATGAATGGTAGTTTACGGTAAGTGAACACTATACAGCAAGAGACTCTCTGGCGTAAGGAGAAGGAATCTTCCAAATTCAAAAAAAGAATAGGATCACAGGGTGGAATATATTAACAGAGTACATAGTTTGAGAAAACTGGCAATCGTCCTATATGACAAGTCTGATATGGTTAATTGCTGAGAGTAACCAATGCTTTACAGTCCAAAAAACCCCCCTCAAATCATTAATATCTTATAAATAAGTATTCAACGAATCTGATACAATTTATTGTTGCACATAATTGTGATATTACAGTCCCGAAGAAAACCCTTAAATTATTTATATCTTATTAATCCCAATACAATGAATCTAGAATGATTAATTGTTGAGCATAATCAGGGCTTTAGTCCCAAAGAAAACCCTAATATGATTCATATCTTATTGATAGAGGCACCTGCTATCTACGTTCTTTGCTCACCGTTGTTCAAGATGCGTAAGTCTAACTGGAACATGCTGGGCACAAGATGACCTGAGTCTGCTGCGACCAGTTGTTTGACAAGCTCCGCTGACCCAGTCACTGTCTTCTGTAGGACCAAGTTGAGCGTCTGCAGGGTCACGTGACAGTGGTGCATGACCTCATTCAGACGTACTGGAGGCACATCAGCACTGACAACATAGTCAAATGGACCAGTTCAAAAGATAAGGAAAGTAACAGAAAAAAGAAAAAGAATCGACAATGAATGAAAATTCAAGCTACAATCGCGTACATAGTCATGAATGGTAGTTTACGGTAAGTGAACACAATAACAACTGTATTTATCCTGGAAAGGAATAAAACAATATTTATTTGTTTGTTTGAGTAGCAAAAAGCAAATCGATACAATAACTGTAATTTAGTCTGGGAAGAGAGTAATACGGGTAGACAGAAACAAGAGAGGTAAAGAAAAGAAGGACTTACCAGTGATGTCCTACAACTACCTGCAGTAAGATAGTAATAATACCAAAAAGAAGGAGCATATCATGCCTTCTTGCAGCGTAATGTAATCTCATTTACAGCATGCATGTTAAAAATAAATCCATTCTTCAGGCCTCCACAGCAAACATTTTCAAGCACCATCATTTTCTACTACTATGCAACTTCTATCATTCTGATTCTTTGGTCCACATGCTTAGCAAAAAGAATCAACCCATTCAACACTCACTTTAATCTCCTCACTCCCTAACATTGCTTTAAGCACAAAAATAAAGACAAAAAAAAATAGAAAAAGAAGATAATCATTCTGTCGAGCAGATTTGTAGTGCCATGCTGACAAACTGCTAAGCAGTTTCTTATGCACAAAGGACTTTCATATTTTACATAATATCCAAGGGTCTAAATTCAAGACAACACCAGAACCAGAGTAGGTTCACTTTAAAAAACCCATCAGGAATGAAAAAGAGATACTGACTTGACTTGAGGTAAGAAGAACTCCTCAGCCTTGACCAAGAACTGTACAACTGTAACAAAAAAAAGGTAAAAAACATTGATGAGGAACCATTCAATACTTTTGACAAACAGAAGACAAAATCAAACAAACTTCCCCTCAAACACCTCCAGCAAAATGCAAACCACAGCTGACATTAAAATCAATCATTGTCAATGATAGTACATAACAAGATGGGCCACTCAGCCAAAAAAGTGTCCGCAGGAAGTATGCTCTTTGCTTCAGATGGCGCTGCAGTATGTTTTGAAGCTCTCTTTCGTTTTTTCCAGAAGAAGAATAGGAATAGCACCTCCTTGCGTGCGCAGATCGACTGCTGTTCATCAGCAGTTCGGGTACGTTCAGTGCGTAGTTTTAGGTTTTTTAAAATTTTAATGACCTCTCGCCTTTCATTCTAAAGTCAAATTAAACGAAGAAAACCATAACCCTTTCCTCCGGAAGAGGTTTTTTGTCAGCGTAACCATTTTAAAAAAGCGTTCTTCCGAAATTTATTCCAAAACATGCTAGTTTCACTTTGATTTTTTAAAACTCAAGTAGGGTAACTCTGTTCGCAAAGAGTGCGCTTTTGTGAAGAGGGCGCCACCAAATTTTGAGGACACTTTTTTAATTGGCTCAAAGAGAGAAGTGGCCCATCTTGTTATGTACTATCATTGTCATTGTTAAGCTCATGATAGTAGTTTGTCACAGCCGTAAAATAAGCCAAAACATTACGTCATAGTGAAAGTGTTTGTATGTGTGGGTGAATGTGAGTGAGAGTGTGTGTAAGTACGTATGTGTGTAAATGTGCACATGAATACTTCTGCTTGTGCATGTGAGAGAATGTAAGCATTTTTCATTTTCTTTTTTCTTCATTCAGGTCAACAAACACTATTTAAAAAGTTTGGTGGGTTTTTTTTCATAAAACATAGCAACATTTCAACAGTCATGAACATTCTCTCAAAATGAAAAACTTACTGTGAAAAGCAACTGTTGACACACACTTTTCTCCTGTGGACAATAAACAAGACGCACAACTTTTAAGAAATATTTAATCTAAAGATACAATGGTAAACATTGTTAATTTACAATATCCTTTAGGAGCACCGATCTCTAATAACAACAGGAAAATGATCTAAAAGTAAAAGGTTTGTCACTGGAAGAGTAATCCACTTGCAAATGTATGTTTTTACGAGTAAGTAGTTGCCATTGTATTTGGTCTAACCATACACTAGTTTTCACATTTTATAACACCATAAATTTATTGGATCAGGGCAGCTTCAATTTTTTGTTATTAAAAAAAAGAAGGGTTTCACAGTGATTTCTCAGTGCCTCATTTCAAAATTAGAAGCATAGCTCTAATTTCTTTATGCTACATTCTTCACTATTCATGATTCGTGCACTCACTCCTGTCGGAGAAAACATTGCTTTCATATTATATAAAATGCCTCTCTTATCTCGAACAAGAAATCCCCACAATTACCCACACCGAAACAGGAAAATACCAGAAAAATTGAATAATATAATACCATGACTAGCAAAATAAGGGTTCTAAAACGCTATGTGCGGTCAAACCTTCTATATGGTTGTGAATGCTGGACAAATACCAAAGAAAGGTGAAAATGAAATAGTAGCAACAGAAATGTGGTTTCCAAGGAGACTTTCGAGGATTTCATGGACAGGAAAGAAATCAAACGAGAAACTGGGCCGCTCACTGATAAAAAGAATTAAAGAAGCCACAACTGAAGTTGATGTCTATTTCAGATCTAGAACTTCATGATGATGATCATACATAAATGCAAATTCAATATTTGCACATTGCACACAGATGTTGAGCCTTTGGGACATTGGCGTCTGAGATCTTAATCACAAAAGAGAGACAACACAGCCAAAATTTACCTCCCGAAAATCCAAACCCCTAAATAACAGGAACAAAAAAGAAATATGAATTTATGTGCAAATGAAAAGTAGGTTGAACACCATATGAAATAGTATGCTCACCAAGTTTAAAATTCTCCAGTAAGGCAGCCACTGTATCCACAGTATGTCTCATCTTTTGAGCTGTTGTTTCTCCTGCATCATTGCTGATACTCAGCCTGACCAGAAGCTTATCACACAACCATTTTTCCACTTGGCTTTTACTTTTGCTATCTAACCCTTCAAAGAAACTGAAATGGTATATATAAAAGAATCAACAAGATCAAGAATAAACAATTGTTACACTTGCACTAAAAAAAATAATTAAAAGAAATCAACATGATATGACAAAGTATGGAATGGAAGATGGAGACAAAAAAGAAATTAATAATAATATAACAGTAAAGTGTGAAAGAGGGAGGGAAGACAAGAAACAACAACTTAAGCGCATTACATTAGAAAGAGAAAACTGAGATATTGCTCTGCAAGTTCTTTTTTTTTAAATAGCTCATATCACCGAATAAAAAATACAAATCCTTTTGATGGCCTATTGATTAAAATTTCCCGTGAGTCTAAGTCAATTCTCTCCGCCCAGCCATCCCCTAGGGTATAAAAAAGACACATTCAAAAGTCCATTATTTCTCTGTCTCATGAATGATGACATCAAATGATGTGTATTTTATTTCCTTCCCACCTTGCAGTGACTCGTTGTGCTGGGGTGCGGGCGGGGCAGTCCAAGTACACAGAGACCAGGTGACACAGGGCATGATTCTTGTCTTGCTGCTCACTCAGAGTTTTGACATGTTCAATCACCTGCTCAGTCATTTAAATTTGTGTTAATTTGTTGAAAGGAGAATCAGATAATGAAGCAAAGACTTAGGTTGAGAAGAAAACATTCTTTTAATAATAGGCCTACAAACTTTAGATTTTCAGATGGCTGTAAAGAATTGTTAACACCTAGCCATCTTGTATCCAAAACTTTACATTTCAGGGAGACGATATGAGAATGAAACTGTAGATGGTACATTATAATTTATAAGGAAAGGTATTATTTTACTTTTACTCTCGTCTCATGCACAGGTATTGTAGAGCACTTTTCTAATTTTTTACTATTATCCGTTCCACATAAATTTAAATTTAACATTCGTCACAAATCATTAGTTTAAAAAAAATATTTTTTTTTATTGGTCTAGTTGCGTGAATTAAATATTTGTGCGTAAAAAAAATCTGAGAGGTTACAAGGCTAGGGTTTTTTTTTAATCTGGAAGGTTTCTGGGGCATACCATATAATTTCAAATATTTGATATTTTCAATTTTTGTAATTATTGTTGAGATTTTCAAGAAAATAATTGATTTGTGATGGTTTTGATGTGTGTGTTCAGCAGCCAAAAATACATGGGTTTAGCCCCTACAAGTACTGCATATGCCTGTGTGAGTAATAGACAATTGAGCACATTTGGAAAAAAAAAAAGCAAAAGGCATGAAAATTTGCAGCCATTGTCTGAAAAGGGTGCTACAATTTATCGTTGGCTAACTATAAAAGAGTTTCTGTCGTCTTAATTACCGGCTATAACCAGAAATAAGCAAAATTTATCAAGTTTCATATTTTTTCTTACCTTCTTCAGCTTAGCTAGATAGATTTTTGTGCCTGTCGGTGGATAAAGAGTTTGAAGAAGAGACTCCATTCTGATGAAAACTGAAAAGACAGGAATAATCAACAATTTGATTTAAAATTATACACTCATTGTATTCTCTTGATATAATAAGCTAATTTTTTAAAATACAGCATGTTCGTCATATTTATTATTTTTAAAATTTAAGGATTAAACTAAAAACTTACCTCATATATAAAAAAAACCCCAACAAACTGTGACTAGTGCAAGGAGTCGAAGCAGTAATTATTCATTAATTGATGTATATATATATATGTATTTTTTATTATAAAATGTAGAGCACATTTAAGGGTACAATGGCAGGGATCTATGTCTAGGTTAGATGCCACGAATCTTGACTTTATCAGACAAAAACTGGTTTCCTTTATTACTATCAGTGTGTTGAGTCCCCGTCCATAGCAATTTACACGTACTTGACACCGCTCTGTCTCTCTCTCTCTCTGTCTCTATTCTGTGATTCAGTGTCCTGTGAGGGCTTGTCGATTGATATCCCGGGAGCTGTAATTCGTCACTGGTGCGCCAGTGGGGCTGCCAATATTGAGAATGCAATGCTAGAGGGATAATCTTGAACAACAACCTCGTTTCCCGTGGGTCACCTGTGGCATTTGCCAACCGATGGCCAATCTGAAGGAACTGGGTCGTCAGGGTATAAAGAGCGGATGTTTTGACAGTCACTGGGACAAAGTCATAGCAGTCGCTGAAGCCTGCGTATTCTCTAATTTTCACTTCTTCGGTCAATCCCATTTCCGTCTTCTTGGCGATACTGCCGGGAGCGGAGGCCAAGGAGGTGAGACAATGGTGAGAAAAAATCCCACGCAAGGCATACATTTGCCATCCTCAATCGAAAAGATAGTGATGCCATCTGGCCTTTTGCCATCACCCCGGTACTGCTGTCTTAGTCTTCGGAAAAAAGGATGAATATCGGAAATTGGGTCATAAAGAGATATCGATACCATGTGAAAGAGCATGAAAAGCTGCATCTTTTGAACCAGTGGCCATTACATTTAGAGATGTTCGATTATCTATTTTGGTATTGGAAATATCGTCATAATTTTTTCTTTTTAATTTATTTCATATTTTATGAGAGAAAGACGAATCTCTCGTCCTACTGTGAAAAAAAGGACGAATACCGAGAGGTTCGTCCTCAGCTGTGTATATTAGCAAGTGAAAAGGAAAAGCCGTTTACGAAAAAGCGACGATAATACCGATATTCGCCCTTCTTCGCCAATACATGCCTACATTATATTGCCACACAGGCCTTATGATGAAATACCAAAAAGCTCAAACCCTAGCATATCCGGCGTTGATCCCCGGAGTGTCAAGTGTGTTGCATGCAGTAAGATGACAAGAACGACTGCTTGTGTACATTCACCAGAATTTGAACCCCAGATCTTTGGCTCCACCGGCAAAGCGCAATTAAATAACAGTCTGGAAGCCGCAAAACATTTACAAAAAAACAGACGAATCTCAAATATCACAGAAACGAAAAATCAAGGACATTATAATTTGACAACGTCGGGTGAAAGAAAGACAAATATCGCCATTCGTCCTTTTCCCATAAAAAAAACTAATTCAAACTTCATCACAAGTGTGAAATCTGTTATGAAAGAATGACTTTTGTCTTCTTACACAAAATTTTGTTGATATTTCCAAACTAAATTTTAACTACAAGTGCATAATTGCACCATCCTTCCTCCTGCCAAAAATCAAGTTTAAAAAAAATAAAAAACCAACTTTTTAAAAGTGAGACGAATAAATTTGATTTTTTTGGCCCTCCTGGAAAATGACATGTCACGATATTCGTCATTTTTACCCAAAATGGCATTGTAGATGTAGTAGGTCGGCACTACTTGGATATGGTGGTCCCGACTTTTGTGTAAGCCTACTGAAATATATACTGATTTAAATAGTCCGTATCAATGTTTTATGTTTCATCAGTCCTAGATCTAAATCTAGCCTACAAAATGAGCAGCAAAATTCACTTGTTTTTCACAATGCAAGGGGGGTTGCCCCCCTGACTTAAAAAAAAACAAAAAAACATGGGGTGTTTCAGGGGGGCATGTCCCTCTGAATTTGACCACAATTTGATGTTTTGCAATTAGGTTTGAAAGGTTGTCTCTCCATATCGCACGCGGAAAAAAAAAAGTAACCGTTTAGACATAGAATCAGAATGAGAAGTAATCGTCGTTGGGGTCAAAACTAGATTTTCTTTGGGTTATATTTTCCTGTCACCAAAGTCGGGACCACCATATCCAAGTAGTGCCAGTAGGTCTATCATGTAGGTCGGCTGCGTCGAGCGCACGTTTCATGATGTCGTTAAGGCTGAGGGCCGTGTGAGTGTGACGTGGGAGACGACCACCACTCACAGGACAGTGGATATATAAATAACACTTTGAGTTTGAGGTCGCCACTCCGATATGGAGGCTATCACTAGACTCTAGACTAGATCTATCATTTTGTCGAGAAGACAACCGACCATGTCATGAGAGAAGTCTAGATTCTAGATCTAGATCTAGATTAGATTTCTAGATCATCTAGACTAGATCTAGACTAGATCTAGAAAAAGATCTAGATCTAGATCTAAATCTAGAAGTCTAGATCTAAATCTAGTAATCTAGATCTGCATGTAATATGTTAATATGATGTGGATCTAGACCTCTAGTCTAGATCTAGATATCTAGATCTAGATCTAGATCTAGATCTAGGCGTAGACTCTAGCAGTAGACTAGATTTCTAAGAAGAGAAGAAGGGAGTGCGCGAAGCCAGGCGTCGATAACGGAGGCTGTATGGTTGGCCGGAGAGATTAATATCTGAAACACAAGTGACATTTCAGTTCAAAATGTTCTTTTGGGATAAGCAATTATTGAATACAATTTATCAAATTAAGTAAGAACACAAAGTGTGACATGAAAACTTACGATAGAGTTGTTGTTACGTGCACTGTTGTCTCATTGCATGGGCGCTGCCATTATACAAACAACCAATACTAATTTTTAATGGGAAAAGAGCTATTTAATAGTTGGTAGGAGTGCTTTCCCATCCAAATCTTTAACTTCGAAAGATTAGACAAGGAACCCCATAGTCCCGCCCACATGATTATCCCGAGTTATTTCCGTCAACAAAAATAAAATCAAGTGCATCACCTGTCATCAGATCTAACGGCAGCATCATTCTTGTAACTTTGGAATGAACTCTTATGCATTATGTATGATAAAGGTGTCGCCCCGGAGATAATAAAGCATGCTTGTGAAGATCTCCTGCTGGCACCAAGTTGCTGCAGGCTCCTGTCAGCTGATCGTTTGGTCTGCATCGTAAGTAAAGTGACTGAGTTGAGTCTGACTGGACTGAACAAGACTGGGACAGGGAAGAAAATTTGGTCGCATTGTTCTTTTAGTACCTGCTGTCATCAACTATATAGCTTGTATCCCGTTAAAAATTATATAAATAAGAATGGAGAAGATGTTTTATCGATGTCTATGGGATGCAAACCCTTGACCTATTGGAATTTCGCTGGAAAGTGAGGTCCCCTTTTTGTCTTTGTTTACTATTTTGTTGTTTGTTTTTATTTTCAATTTCTTAACTTGCATTCAAAGTCAAAGGCTTTGATGTTTCCCTGTTTTAAAGCTGGGAAATAAAAATTTCACGAAAGATCAGTTATGCTTTTGGGAAGATCTGCTCAGGGTCTCAGGGTCCGTTTGAGGTTACCTTTTTATTTTCTGGTCCGGCTTTATTTCTCCGAATGCTCGGGAAAATAAACTTGAACTCTATTTCTCCGAAACAGTTTCCGTTCTTGAGATTTTTTTAAATTTGCGAATGGAGTGGCCCGTGAGTGTGTGTGTGTGTGTGTGTGAGGTATGAAGGAGGGTAGAGGGCGTCGGGGCGTTTCGTTTAGGGATTTTTTGTGTGATTTAAATTAGAATCTAGTTTTTGCTTTAGGGGTGACTACTAAATTAAATGCAAAATAGGTTACTGCCAAAGTCTAGCAGTCTTGTTTTCTCGCTGTACCTTTTGAAAAGCATTTTCAAATGAAGTATAGTCCGGGAACGTTACCCCAACCAGAATTAAAGTGTCAGACATTTAAAAATCTATAGCTCTAGAAATTGAATTCGATGCAAAAAATGCTTCTTCCCAATCCTCGCAGAATGAAAGATGACGCTGAACTCTCGCAAATAACCAGAAAATCTCGAGAACAGAAACTGTTCAGAGAAATAAAGGTCAAGTTTATTTTCCCGAGCGGTCAGAGAAACAGTCACTTTGTTTAATCTCTAATCCCTTCAAATCTTGTTGTATCTTACGTCATCATTGTCAAAATCAAGTCCAAGTGTCAGATTAGTGACAGATCTCAGCGGTCATGATTCTCCATTCATTCCTCTGCTAGGATGCTCTTCAAAAATTCCTGATCGTTCCCTGTTATCCATGTCTTTAGGCTCTCCAGTTATGTTGCTCTGGGTTTTTTCCAGACCTCTTTTGCCCTCAGTTTTGCCCTTGAGAGTTAGATGTTCAAGGCCACTACGTCTATAAGTGTCCCAGTTGAGCAACTACATATTGTCTTTTCCTGATTGTTCTTATCAGCGAGCAGCCCATGTTCATCAGCTATCATATCTTTTAAAATTCACACAGGTCCACACCGATACAGTTCATTACTTCATCTTCTCTTAGAGGGAAGTTACCATCAATACCGTCTAAAAAGTGCATTAAGGGCCTATTTCAAATAGTATTTCAGTCCGTGCAAAGTCACAGACATTTTATTTGAGTTAACATTTAAAGAACACCTCTGTACAGAAAGTTGGGTTCTAACAAATATCTGCTAACAACAGGTATTTGTTTCTGTCTTGATTTATTTCATGTAGACATTATAAGAAATTGTTCTTTTTCCAACAGTGTTGTCTACCTACTCTGAAGATTTAATCTTAGCTTTATATACTGATAATCTGGTTAGTTTACTGCAATATTTTTAAAGTATGATATGTGAACATCATTTCCTCTTGATTCTGAAGTGGATACCAAAGATCGATCTTTCATGTTATTCCACAAAACTGACGAATCTGATCTATTACAGAAATGAAGTTTTGACACTTTTTCAGCATTTTGTACCCTTTTATGCATAGGCTTAATGCATCTAAGCGAACCGTACCTCTCTTTCACACCTGAGTGCCAATGCCTGCTCAGCACTTAACAATGTATTATGAAGACCCAAAATATCATAGATTTGCTTTCAAAGGCTGTTGACTATGAGCCCTTAAGTGGAGAAGGCAGGCAGGTGTGTTATTTGAGGTGAATGGGAATTAAAGCTACCCATAGGGCCAGACCATCAATGATTTATTTATAGAGGCACCAGCCATCCATGTCCAGGTGCTGTTTTAGCCCTACCCATAGGGCTTGTATCAAAAAAAAGTTTGAGCTGAACAAAGTACTATGACCTCAGTGTTTTGAAGATTGCTGATTAAAAAAACCCAACCACTTTACACTGGTTCTAGCTCTTTTTAAAAAACTCTTTTTTCTTTTTATAGGTAACAGAAGAATGGGTCAAGCACTTACACAAAGGACAAATTTCTCAACTTACTGATGAAACAGAAGAGATTGATACTTGCAAAGCGGAGCGGTATCTTTCACGATCATGTGACAAGGTGCCACACTCATGGATGAAAATCACAGTGAAAGCCATAGCAAAATCTGAGGAATTGTTTGAACGGTAATGTGTTAATAGTATATCAGGACTGCTCTCACAATATGTCGAAAATGGAAAAAGGGAGGATACACTGTTTGAAATTTGTTAGACTTATTATACATGTGATTATGAATGAGATAATGTTAAATTGTTTAATAATTATGGGTTCAGTTATACACTAAATACTTATTTTACTTAAAGAATTTTTTTTTTCAGAATTAGGGAAAACTATGAGCTAAGACATTTCGGTCTGGACTTTAATTTTTTTTTAACGGGATAATAGGTATAGAACATTTTTTAGCAAATGATAAAAGGAAACAGAAAATTTGAATACTGCTTCCCAAACAATGGTAATGATATTTTTTTTACTTTCTTTTGTCATTAGGTCTCTCATATCTGTGGTTTCGATTTTAAGCATAGCTTATGTTGATATTATGTCTTATATTTATTCCCAGGATCCCTGAACGTCGTTTTCAAAAGCAGTGGTCATGTGGCAGTCTATATGAATTTTTGTCTCATATTTGCAAAGAAAATGTGGCTAATCTGTGGCTGCAGGCTCACAGCTCTCTGAGCACAAATTCTGGGCAGCGTTACAACCAGGCAGAGGGAGTTACTGTGAGCATGTTTAAATACTGTTGCTTTTTCACATGAGCTAAATGTTTTGGTGTCTCTCTATTTTCTTGTTTTTGTTTATTTTCGGAGATGGGGGTAAAATATAATAATGTGACTATTCAAGAATTTGGAGATTTAAGCTTGTAACTGTAAGTGCTTATACTATTATTAAATGTTGTTCATGGAAATATATTTGACACAGATAATAAAATGTGACTCACTATCTAGTCACTTCGTATGAATTAAGCAAATTTACAGTGAATGATGCTGTGATTTGATTTTTATTCATATTGTAAAATAAGAAACGATACATAAAAGTTTCAAGTGCAAGTGTTATTAGGAAGAGGCTTTTATAGCTACTTTAAGAATTTCTCTTACTTATTCATGATCACCCATATTATATATATGCTATGGTGCATTGAATGCTTACCTCATGCACACATATGTTTCCTCCATTGAATTAATGGCTGGCTAGAAAAGTGTGCATATATCAGTTTTCTTTCTTTCTCTATTCTTCTGAATGTTGTCATCCTCTTCTGTAGCATTACTCGATCATTATTGTATTATTGTGTTTTCTGTGTCTCAGTCAATCAATTCAATAACTGAGGTAATGAAATTGAAGTTAATACTCGTTCCAAGGTTTGACAAAGTATATTTAAGTAAGTGTTTTATTTTTATTTCAGTTCACATCACTAATAAGACAGGTGATCCACAAGCTAAATCCCACTGTGTATATTAAATCACAGCCTGAATTTGATTTGAATTTGAGCTCTGAGCTTTCATCCTCCTCCGCTCGAAGCAAAATTCCGAAAGATCACTCAGGGAGCTTCAACAGCAATGGTGGCAACAGCGGCAGCAATTCTTCCAGCAGAACCAGCAGCTTCCACACGAACATTGAGCCTCAAAGCTGCTTCGGTCTCGTCCCAATTGATGTGGTTGTGGAAACAGCAGGCTACTTCTATCTCATACAGCCGTATTACTCCTACAGTTTGCAGGATGTGGTTGCCTTCAGCCCCACCATTCTCGAGATCAGCCATGCAAAACCATTGTTTGTTATCTACCAGCTACTGCAGGCTATGCAAGCCTTGCATCATCTAGGTCTGTACTTAGGGGAGGTCACCATCTCCGACATTGTGATGGACAAAAACATGTGGCTTAGAGTGTCGAATCCTCGTCTCAGCATTCTTCGTTCTTATCTCGACCGTGAAGTGATGAGTCCGAATTCAGATTCAGATTCTATGTACATTACTGCAAATTCACCTGATGCTCTAAACAGGAAAAGTTCTTTTCCCTTCAGCCAAGATTCAGTATTCCCAAGTCATGTACAAGTAAGTGTGCTTTCACTGTATATGATTTATAATGAGCAATTCAGGGCAAATGCAGGAAAGATACCTTGTTATGCTTCATGTTTAACACACGACTTAGAACACGTCAACTTAAAAGTTTGCCAACTTAATACTTGTCTGTTGTTCAGGAAAATACTAGGCCTAAAGCTTATCATGATTGCCTGTTTCATCGCACAGTAGCTGCTTGGACGGGTCTAGATTAATAACATACTCTTGCAAAAATCCTTCTGTGAATGATGAAAATCAATTTTGCATGCAAGTTCTTGACCATGGGAAACAGTGGGAGCAATAAATATATTTTCCTCTTCACTTTTGTCTGCTCTATACCAGCCTTTTCTGATATTTCTTTTTTTTAATGCATTTTCACTGTTATAATACTATAATGATAAGGAAGGTACTTTAAACTGCTAAGAGGCGTTGAATGTACTTTCTAGATGTAGGAATAGCACTCTGAAGTAAAATTAGGTTTTTTTAAAGTTGGATTAGGAATTTTGAATAAAAAACATGAGTGAGATTTTTGGTTTATGCTTTATGAAACAGTGTGCTCTTTTCTGTATCTCTTTCAGACTGTTGGCTTTTTTACGAACAACGAAAAGTTTTTTCAAGTTGCATGTGAATTCATGAAAACCCACGAACACAACGCTTATGAGATCACCATGCTTGATGCCATTGTTGACCACTGGGTACATAGAAGGATCACAAACTTCCAGTACCTCATGATCCTTAATTATCTAGCTGGTCGACGGATGGGGGACCCCAATAATCACCCAGTGCTTCCGTGGGTTCTTGACTTCTCTGGCCCAGATAGCGGGTATCGCGACCTCACAAAGTCAAAGTTCAGGCTAAACAAGGGGGATGGGCAGCTCGACTTCACCTACTCTGTTATGAACGATGTGTCTGACTCCAATGAGCACGTGCCTCACCATGTATCCGACATTTTGTCAGACATAACCTACTACGTCTACAAAGCCAGACGAACTCCTAAATCGGTGCTATGTGCTCATGTGCGCTCAAATTGGGTTCCTCATGAATATCCCATTAGCATGCAGAGGCTGCAGGACTGGACACCTGATGAATGCATTCCAGAATTTTTCACTGATCCATCTATTTTTGACTCCATTCATGAAGACCTTCCTGATCTGGAGATTCCAACATGGAGTAAGAACACACTTGACTTTGTAGTGCGCCACCTGGGAGCATTAGAGAGTGACCATGTCTCCTCAAATCTTCACCATTGGATTGATCTTACATTTGGATTCAAGGTACATAATGTTGCCATACATGTTACTACATGTTTTAGGTGAATTCACTTTTTATCCATTTTATCCATCTTTCTATAAATGGTAATCTCCAGTAGTGTCAGATAGTGGGATTATCAGTTGATTGTGATGTCTGTCATAAATATTACGTATAATACCTTTAGATGAAATGATTGTTCTAAGAATATATTAATTGCTGTGAGAAGAATCAAGATGAGTGATAAAAACAAAAAAGAGAGGGAAGTTGAAGGATCTTCCTGTAGTGCTCTGCAATATCTCGCTTGAGTTAATGTTAATATATGACTTGAAGTCCTGAATTGCACACGAAGAGGGATGATCATACAGTTTAAATAAATGTAGCTACGAATTGTTTTATTGTGGGGCTATATGAAGTGATAAGATTTTATGATGAAATCATAAAGTAATTGTCTTCCAACAACCTGTTAGAATCCATGGCTAAACAGGGGAAATATCTTCTCTTTTGCGTTTTTCTCACTTTATCTTAATGTTCTTGCTTCTCTATCCCTCTAATTTAGAAAATACATAGAGGCATCGGCGGGATTCATGTTTAGAAATGTTTGAACATGAAACCGTTTAGTGTCAGTAAAGCCCATGTTTTGGTTTGGATCATAGCTTATTTCCAGCTTATCTCCTCTCTGTTGGTAAACTCTGGGATGTTTATTCTTAAATCCATACTCTCTAAGGTTTTAGAAAGATATGGACAATTCACGTTTAATTAAAAGGCAAATCTGTTATTTTGCATTGTTTGTGTATGTATCCCGTTTTTGACCTGCTTCGGTAAAAGTAAAGCTGAAATATGCCTGTCAGGGAGAGTTGGCTGTGAACCTGCTCTAAGGGCCACCTATATATGACATTCACCTGTACAAATAGCCACTTCCCATCTCCCCCCCACCCTGCTTTTTTTAACTTTATGTTGACGCTGTTTACAATTTTCACTTTTCTCCTTGACATTGGGTTGCTGCACTAGACCATTTGGACAGTATTGACTAGTGTGGACATCTTAAATTTGCACATTTTAAATGGAGAGAACTGGTCTGCGATAATTTAGCCTCCTAAGGAGTAAGTTTGAGAATCGTAAAAGTTAAGATTGTTGAGTAAGAAAAATACTCTATTTTTCAGCTGAGTGGTGCAGCTGCCATCAAAGCCAAGAATGTCCACCTCCACCTTGTAGATCAGCACACCTACCTGACCCCACATGGGGCTGTTCAGCTTTTCCAACAGCCACACCCACAGAGGGCCTCACAGCACTGTGTTTCTGCCTCAGCTGCAGTGCCCCGCATCACTAGAGGGCTTCTGAACTCACAGGTATATAAAATGTATTAAGTGACAGACAATGTTGTGGAAAGAAGACAATTTTTGCTTTATAATATATGGGATGTTAGATAGTCATAGTACCAGTTAACCTCAGGCAAGAGTATTTAACTATATATGAGATGACAGGAATATTACGGTCCAGGTTTGTTTTGATGTTGAAAGTTGACACATTTGGACTGGATAGGTTTTATGAGAGACAGGTGTCTCCTTCACTGGCACTTGTCACCCTGGCAAATGACTCTTTTTTTTATGAATGGATATTATTTGATTCATGAACTTTATTATACATTTTCTAAATTAAATTCTTCAGAGATATTGTGTGCGGATTATTTAGACTCACAGGGGACTTATTTAGAACTGTCTGTTATTTTGGCTTGTCTTGTGTGTTTTTGAGTCAATTTCCCCCCCCCCCTGTTTTCAACTTTTATAATGTATTAGTATCAAAAGTTTCTTTACTTTTATATTCTTTGTCTAATTATGTTCCTGTGGAATTTCAATTCTCTCCTTGGCATAGTTTTAGACAGCAGCATCAAGTTTTTAGTTACTGTATCTCTTATCCATTTTTCTCATTTGGTGAAAAACTCCAGAGCCGAAAAAGAGTGATTATTAAAATGAACTTCATCATAAAAAGTTTAAAAATGAAAGTACTGAAGTCAATAGATAAAAGGATCTTTATATCTGTCCATGGAGGATCTTAACTGTGTGACTGTTTCCTGACAGCTCCTCACCTATGGTTTCCCTGATGCGGAAATCGACTCACAGGGGAGTGACTCAAGGTAAGTTAGCAATGTCAATGTTTCTGTTCCTATTCAAGCTTAAAGAGAGTCATCATCTTCATTTAATTGCTGGAGGGATATGCTCAGGTATTTTAAGGAAAATTTTCTGAAAAATATTCACCTCACAATCCCAGTAAAGTATTATTCAATAACAACTTTTTGAAACGATAATTGGTTCTCTTCAAAATTGTTTTGAAAAGCCTGAGATTCGATATCTAAATTCATACAGTGAAACATTTATCAAGTTTAAACAAGTATCATTATATGAGATAGAAGGGTTCAGAAGTGCACTTAGATAATAATCCCAAAACAATTACAATTGAATCTGCTCATACAGCCACCTGTATAAGACAGCCACCTGTATAAGACAGTCACCTGTACAAATGGCCACTTCCCATTTCCTACCTTGAGGGGTTTTTTTACATTGTAATAGCACCATGTAAAATGGCCATCTTTTTGAGACGACGGCCACTTTTCTCCTTGACACTGGGTGCTGTTTAGACATTTTGACTGTATTTCATCTTTTGATAGGTCAGGCATATTGTTGCCTCAGAACTATTTTGGCCAAAGTGTAAAGAGGCACTTTGGACAAAATAGTTCTGAGGGGATGGTATGGTGATAGGTCTGCTGCCCCACTAACAGGGGAGCTATTCCTTAACTAATAATAATAATAATAATAAATAGCATTTGTATAGAGCATGTCCCCACTTGAAAGCAAGCTCTGTGGGCTTTACACCATATTATTACCCCAGCGGACCATAGAACACTCAGAAACATTCTCAGCTGCCTGGGAAGCATACTAGTGGGGTGCCTCTAGTATGTCAAGGCCTCTCTAATAGAATGTTGGGTTCTCCACGCTCACTGTGTCTTCTGAAATTACTTACAGTCAAACCTTTCCAAAATAACAACCTATTGTCGAGGAGAAAAGAGGGGATCTTAGACTTGTAGTCCTCTTAAACAGTGTCATTTTGATTTAGACAAAAGGCAAAGGATGAAGGGGATAATGGTCGTTTATACTGATTACTGTCTAGGGTAGGTGGTCATAAGTGTAGATTTGATTATATTTGTGCCTTGTCGATCTGTAAAATGTTTTTTTTGAAAAATTATTGCAAAAATCCTCACTGTTGTTGACTTTTCAGTTTTGATGGCTCTGATCAGAGCCGTATTCACCTGACAACCATTCCCTTGCCTCGGAGTTATAACCCTTTGGCAGTACTGGAGCAGTGCGAAGCTCTTCAAGAGTTCAAGGTCAAAGCTCTGCATCTCCCAAATTCACAACTGGCTTCAACACCAAAGGTAACTGCTTCACTGCCCAACGCGACTTGATCATTGATTTAGTTTGTGGCACTGCGCCTACAGAAAGTCGGTATTGTAAACAAATAGTTATTGTTACAATGCATTTATTCAAAACTTGTACTTGTTGGCACTCATTGTACACCTGACTTTTTCCCAGCACAAACCCATTGTGCTCTGCAAGTACGACTTCAGATTTTTACAAACATGTGGGTGGTTGGCGGGTGCTCTTTTATGGTTTGGATTTTCTTTCTTATCAAACATCTGTCTTCCTTTTCTTTGTCTGATACTCTCAAGTAGCGCGTCTATTCTTCTGCACTTTTATGACCTAATTGTGTTGCTAGTGCTGTTAAACTCTTACTAGCACTAACACTAAACTGTTACTTTTACACCGTAGGTATGGACCATCACAGATGAAATTTGGAATGGTAGGGGGATGAATACCCCAAAAGCCGTACAACTTTGCAAGAACTTTGTATTTTTTATACCATAGAGGTCTGAAACTGTCAATGGAGACGTCAAAAACACCTACCTTTTTTGTTTTGGTACTATAGACTTATAGAGTTGTACAACTAATCCAGCACTGCTCAAAAGCAGAAGCAGGATTTCAATTGTTGCAGGATCTTTGAATCAGCTTATGAACAGTTTCTTCTTCACTCCTACCATTTTCTCTGTTCATCAACCTGCTTGAACTTCCTAATTAGTTTGTGTTTTTTCACTAGGTTATTTTTAAATATTTTTTTTCTCACTTGGAAAATAACTCTCCTTAAGTTAAGTAGTCTCATGTTCAGTATATGACCTAATGCGCTCAAAGATTTTAGTAATGTAATTTGATATTGAGTTGCTTCTATTTCAACTAATTATTTATAGTTTATTCATGTTAAAGGCAGGACTTGCAGACAATCATGTCTCTTCTTAGAGTTGTTACTGTTGCAGTCAATTCAACAACACTTTTGATTTATGCCTTTTACCCTAGTGCTGTGTTTAAAAGATAGAACCAAAGAGATCTGATCAGCTTTATAAGAGTACACTGTTTCTACATACACAGTGAGTAAGCAAATAAACATCTGTCAATGAAATGTCCAAATTTCCCTCTCAGTGTTATTGCAGAGACATTCAATTGTTAGTCCTGTCTTTAAAATAAACTCCATTGTATCGAAAAGATTTCATCTTAATACTGTTGTAAACATATCAGTACATTCTGTATCCACAGCCGGGCACTCCAACTCAGTTTCAGGATGAAGGAATAACTCGTGACATGGTCACCCTCTTGTGCATCATCTGCGAAATGTTCTTGGATTCAAAGCTACGCATGCAGGACTCTCGGCCCCCACTCTGGAAGAGGGTCCGGTCCATCAGAAAGTTATGCTCCTTGGACTTTTCAGAAATACAGAGGTAAGAGCTGAAAAGAAGTTTTAAAATGTATGACATTAAAAATGGATAGAAAACAAAAACACAGGGCAGCCAGAGAAGTTACAAACTTCTGTCAGATGGTCTTACTGTTTTTCTTTCATTATTTTTCATTTATTTAATTTGTTGCTCATTGTCACAAAAATTAAGATTAAGTGGTAGGTGGGCATCAGTGTTAGGCCCAACTACACTTCTTTTGTCTGATGTTTATGTCTCTCAGTCTTGCTTTTCTTTTGGTGATATGCTTCTCTCTACTCAAATAGACAAGAAATCTTTTTTTGTGCGTGTGTCTTTTTGAAGGTGCGCTGATCTAGTGGTTAGTCAACTCATGTTCAGTATTGTCAGTGTTGATATACTTTTTGGGGAAAGATTTCTGAGTTAAGTTTTATGTTCCTGGTGGAGATGTATTAGCCTTATCTTAGAAAGATCTAGCACCTTTGAAGTTGTATATCGTGCTATGCGTTATTGCTGTATCATGTATGTCGTAGTGAAATAAATCTCACTTTGTGGATTTTATAATTGTCTTTTCTTTTCTTTTTTCTGTGCCACAAACAGACCAGTGCAGAAGTTTGTGAGGGAGATGTTTGATAGTTTGGAAGTCAGCCCAGATAAGAAGTTTGCCTTCCAAGCAATATTTCCAGATGGCAGCCCGCCCCCTACGCCAGGCTACTTACTACAGCCATACTGTGACCTCATTCCTTTCCCTTCTTACTTTGTGGAGTTGTACAACACGCTCAACAAGGTGGAAGAAAAGAACCAAGCCATTGAAAGTTTGAAGTGGAGCAAGATTCCTTTGATGGAGAAATCAAACAGGATAAAGCAATTGGAGAGAGAGAAGGTTAGACTATCAATTAACACTTTGTATGATACATGATAAAGTGATGCTTAAGGTTTCTGGTAACAAGTTCAAGAAGTCTCCTCCATCTTTCTTACTCATGTCTGTTCCACTCACAAGGTTTTAACTGAGCATTTTTTATTCAAGTAGAATATGTGAGGCATCAATGTGAAATCAGGCCCATGTCAAAATAATGAAATAGAAGAAAACAGCATTTTTTTCTGCCGGTTTTGCTGTTTTTATTGAATTGTCTGTTTTTGGCTTAACATCTTTAAAGTCTTTAAAAAACACATTTCTGTGTGGCTTTTAATGAAAACTGCTGATTAAATTTTTAATTTTCAGTACTCAAGGACTCTCATGCTATGGAAATTACCAAACTTTAGCAGCCATTTTCTCAAAAATTTTGCCTCTTAAAACAGGTGACACCCTCCTTCTTCAACTGAAAGTGTTCCGATTTTAATTCAAGATAAATCTAAATGAATGGGTATTTTTTTTTTCATTGAAAACAAGCAAATGAACAAGCTTTAAGATGATACCACTAACTCCACTTGTCCAAAATTTGATGAGAGCCTGATTGCACTGTATCGCGCCATATATGTTGTTGTTAATTATGATCCAGTAATGCACATGCTTCTGCGCGCCATATGACCTTATGCAGTTGCGAGTGCCGTATCGTAAAACCTTACTTAAACAAACATGCTTCTGCTCTTCTGCCCCATGTGTTGAAGGGATAGGTGAAGGTTTACTTCAAGCATTGAATTGTTCCATAAAGCATATTTTCTGTACCTTAAGGGCCTTGGGAAGAGATGGATAACATTGATGTTGCTTAGTGGTTATAAATGGAAAATAGTGATGCCCTCTAAGTATGCACAGTTGATATGCACAGCAGGTGCACATGATGTTGGGATATTGCTAGCAGTATGACATTATAACAAGGCCATTTTGAGTTTGGTTATGTTTCATTGTGTCTCCTAGACCGGTGAGTTTTTTGGGTATTTTTATCGGTTACATTTTTTATTAACTATTTTTTATTGACCGTTCACATAAATATCGACCCAAAAAATATATAAAATATATATAAAATAGCTGGGAAAAAATACACTAGATGGGTGAGTATGGAACAGTGCTGCCACTTTGCTAAAGTATCTTGGAACTTACATAACCCATTATTTTCCACTCTCTTTGCCTTGTTTTATATCTGCTACATGTGTGGTAGTTTATGCTCCTATTCATGTCATTCTGCCTTTGTGCTGACCATCAAGTGGCATGGAAGAATCTCTCAAGATCTAAATGGCTCCCATTATCACTGTATTCATATAGTGTATATCAAAATGTAGTTTCATTAGGTCAAATCACTGACTAATTTATTTTCAGCCGTGTTGTTATTCTGACGTGTTGAATTTCTCGATAAATCCAGAAATCTGAATTTTTTAAATTGTCCTAATTTTTCCAAACTAAAGGACAACTGATGAGAAGTTGTTACACAATCCCTCAGTCAGTTGCACACTATAAAAACAGTCTCTATAGAAGATATATTGTACAAAATAACTCATAAATTAAGAGCCCCGATATGCACATTTTCAACAGGGTGTAAAAAGTTTAAAGATATTTTTTTCATAGCCAATTGGCTCCTTTGATTTTTTTCCCCTTAGGTTCCAGTGCTAGAGACTTTTCTATGGCGACACCAGGGCTACCTGGGCCAGGAAGGAATGGCCTTGATCTTGCCGTACATCCAGGACCTTCTCCAGAATGAGTTCACCACAGTGCAGGCAGCCTGGTCCCTCTTTGACGTGTCCACTCGTGAGCTGGGCCCCAGCGAGTCTACCAAGGAGTTCCTTAAGTCTCTCACAGCTCTCTTCTCAGGGGAGACATCTTCGGCCAAACATATCAAGCTGTATCACAGGTGACAGTTTAGATAGAAGCTCTGTCACAGATAATGTATAAATTGTAGATGTTGTCTTTTTACTTATCATCAAGTTGCCTGAAGGAATCGAACAAGGCTTAAATGACTCCCATTATCGCTGTATTCTCATACTGTATATTATAATGTGGCTTCATTTGTTCAGATCATTGAACTAATTCATTTTCAGCTATGTTATTATTCTGAGATGCCCCATTAAGATAATTGAGATAATTTTGGAGGTCAACTGCTTTAATGTTGTCTGTTACGGCCTACCTGGGCTTAGTGAGATGTAGTATCCCTTCCAATAGACAGAGATACAAGGTAAAGACCTTTCCCGCTCGGCTATCAAATTCATGTCTTTTGCTTATGGCAGCAGAGCGTTATCATTGTACCATAGATACAAGTCTATAGTAGGTGATGGTTAGGTAGACAGAAGCTGTGTAATACGTGATGGTGTTGATAGACAGAATAGTCATAGGGAATGCTGATAATTAGCTGGATAAATTTTATAAATATCTTTAACTCCTTATCTCTGGCAAGCTGCTCCCAGTGGCTCACGGTCGGAATCTCTGTGCAGTTGAGTCGCCGGCAGTGGCTCATGCACATTCCTTTTGGGTGGCTTCGACAAGAAATTTCTTTTGGGCAATTGCCAAAAACATGTCTCTTTTACCAAGAGTTCATTCCTTAAATGAAGCGCTATCAGAATAGGTTTACTTATTTTGATTTAATGACCAATTAGTGATGTATATATCACTTTTAGATTTCGTACTGAAAGAGGGCCCTGTCATAGTGAGTTTTCCCCCCTTGGAGGTATAGAGTTAAACCAGAAAGTTGACATTGAAATAATAAAGATTTTGGAGTATTTTAATGTATATATCAATTTCAGAGCCCTATTACTCTTTTGCTCTTTTGGTATTTGTCTGTGTCACTGTTTGCCCCTATTGGATGATTCGTTTCATTGACAATAATACTGCAGTGTTCATTTTAGAAATTGGGATGATTTTTGTTTTGTTTTACAGGTCATTCTTAATTCAGCTGATCATCAGACTGGGCATGAAGACTTTTTTGACATACTTCTCAACTCTGCTGGTAGAAGCTGTTGCGGGCTATAAAGATTTTAGTCTTACCAATCGATTTTATCCAGAAGAACTGTTGGAAGATTTCAACCCTGAAGAAATTTTAAAATCCCCTTCAGCAAAACGTGAGCAGATGGACTGGACACAAAGTAACCTGCGGAAAGAGGGAGATTTCTCTAGGGATGGTATTGGGGAGGATGAGGTAGATGCTCCGGAAGAGGAGAGCAGTTGCAGTAGGGATGAGGATGAGCTAGACAACACCATGGTGGATCGATTATCTCTTGATGGGGAGCATATACCAATGCTGGATGAAGATGCTGTCGGGAAGTATGATAGTGTGGACTCTGCTGAGAGAGACTCAATTGACAGCGAGAGTAGCGAGGACAGGATCGAAGTTCTTAATATAAGGAGGAAGACGGTCATGTTTGAAGATCAGGACGGAGCTAAAGAAGGCATTTATGGAAGCGCTGACCAGCATTCTATTCACAGCATCTCCATGCTGCTACCAAAAGACCTCACTGATTCTCCAGCCGCGGGGGAAAACATGGAGCATTTTCACAATGAATTTCCTTGTGGGAGCTTAGACACTATGTCATATGAAGCCTTGGAGCCAGGCTCACAGAGTTCTTCAACATGGCAGCAATTCGGCAATGGCAATAAACACTCTATTTCTCAGACCTTGAGTTCTGGTTCGGACTCTGTTTTTGAAGGTCAGATAGAATCTGAGGGGTCTAACCAATCAAAAGCGTCCAAAAATCATACTTCCAGTGTCAGTAGTGAGTCTGGTGTCAAACAATCTCTTGTCTCAACTGACAGTGCTATAGTCAGCAGCAACTTATCCTCTCTGTCCCCAACAACTTCAGTTGTTAGCCCACAAACAGTAGATCCATCTTTTACTGAATCCACCAATACCCGTCTGGCTAAACAGCCACAAAGACAGAGAAGTATCATGACAAGTTCTCCGGCATTTGAGACGACCAATGCTGAAGACGAAAGAGATGGAAATTCGCAGAAACCGACTCGACAGAGAACAACATCGGATATGGTGCGTAGTGAGACCGAGGATCTTATGCTGAACCTGTCTTCTGACAGCGCTGGTAGCGTCATCAATATCCGTGACATCGCGGCAGACTCGGTTAAATGGTTGTCACACAAGCTCGGCCCAGTGCTTGCCACTAAGTTCTTGTCTCGGAACCTCGTCCGCATGCTGGCCCTTTGCTACCTGGGTCATGATCAACTGCAGTTTATGGAGGGCAGTGGTGAGGAAATTAATATTATTATTACCACAACAGATTTGAATTCAATTTTGCAAATGAAATTGGGATATAACTAAATTCTGTACTGTCAACTGTTAAACTCATGTCCTCTGTTTAGTTAAAGTACCTAAATATTCTGTAAAGTTAGGTATAACAAAAACATAATGTCTTTCAAACAATAATATGAGTGTTTGTTTTATGGCTTAATGGCTTAAAGTTTCGCAACTCTCCTGGTTAGAATGTTATTTCCATTTTATTGACACAATCCCCACTTGGAAACAGAATAGAATATCCTTTTATCCCAGCCATTTCCATTCCTTTCACAATTAATTTTCAGTTAAAACTTTCTTTTTTTTTGGGGGGGGGGGGGGGGGGGTTGTTTTTTTTTTTTTTTTTTTTTGTTTGTTTGTGTGTATTGTTTGTTGTTTTTGGGGGGGGGGGGGGGGAGCATGATCTTGATGATGCTCATTTGAGGTTGAAGTTTGTTCTTACAAAATTCTGTTTGGTAATGGGTGCTGCTTTAGCCTGTCAGATTTTTGGCCTACTTGTAATCACACATTTTAGTTTGACTGTGTCGTTTTAGATATACATTTTACTTCAGAAAATTCTCAAACTTATTTTTGGCACATTGCTTTTTTTTCCTACCGAAGCAACTGACAAGCTGATCAAGACATCTCGACTCATTGTGGGAGACAGGAATGCCAACAAAGTTCTGGAGTGCATTGGGTTCACTATAGTACTGTATGGAGAACAAGTCATTCTGATTCAGTGTTTGCCAAATATCATGGATATGGTGAGTGTAGTGGGTTGTTTTCATCTTTAATATTTTCTCTTTAATGTGGCTATAGTGTTGTATGGATTTGGTGGCTTTTTCAACTCCAAAATGTTTTTTATAGAGGCAGGACCTGTAGTTTACTTTCCATCTTTTGTGAGTTTCTGACTAATCACACAATGTGTAAAAGGACACTCTGTTCACATGCAACTTTGGGATTAGCAGAAAGATTATTCTCTTCTGATATTTGTATATGTGAGGCAGCGTGGTGGAATCAGGCTCTCGTCAATTTTTGGGCATGTAGAGTTATTGGTATCATCTCAAAGCTTGTTCAGTTGCCTTTATTTACATTTTTAAAAATATCCATTTATATTGAATATAAGTCGAGATACTTGCAAATGAAGGAGGTTGGGGTCACCTGTTTTCAGAGGTAAAATTAGTGAGAAAATGGCTGCAAAAGAATAGTTATTTCCTTAGTTTTAGAGTCCGTGGTAACTGAAAATTTATATTTTTTGTGCCTTTAATCAACGTATTTCAGAAAAATCCACACTGAAATTTGTTCTTTAAAGGGCATGAAAGGTGTTGAGCCAAAAAACACAAATTTGATGAAAATTCACAAATCTGTGGAAAAATGCAATTTTCTTCACTTTGATTATTTTGACGAGAGCCTGATTCCACCACGCTGCCTCACATATTATATTCATGTATAATGGTTTGATCACTTCTGTTTCACCTCTGCTACATTCTTCATAACTGAACAGAGTAAATATCTTTTAGAGGCCGTAGATCTATTTGTGCTTTACTTAAAAGGACACATCTGAAGCAGTAAACATTTTGGCTATGTGGACCAGACCTATGCATGATATCGCTCCATCATCCTTCTCCCTCTTTCTCAAATGAAAGAGAGGCATTTGACTAATTTGCGTTTTCTTCGAATTGTTAGAGGTAAGAATGTGGGAATTCTAACAATTTTAAAAATGTATTCTTAAATTTTCTGAGTCCTTTGTACTGAACTATGATGTTTAAGTAATGAAGTATTGTTATTATTATCTATATGGTTGTGTGCACATGCTCAACTTATGCCTTGACATTTTGTTCCTTGCTTATTCTTTAGAAAAGAGAGTGAGGGTAAAAACTTATTCAGAATACTTAAAGAAATAAAATGTAAGAAATATAGAAGTGAGGAAGAAAGAATATGAAATGAACAGGCTTGAGTTGTTCATTTTAAAGAAGTCTTTTTGTTGGGCTGATTTTCATGACCAGGAAAAAATTGTTTAACTATTAAATGAATAAAGGTTGTCTTTGTTAGCTGATGTTTTCTGTTACAGATTACCCTGGCACAGAAGCGTCTGTCCTCAAGAGCTGAGAGTGGACTCATCGCTTCTGTTGTTTTGTTGGCATTTCTTGTCCCATACATCTCGGACACTACCCTCATGAACTTACTGGAGGTGAGGCTACTATGAAGCAGCATCAAAAGTAAAAAAGTATTTCAAACATCCTCCCGGAATAAGGCCTATGCAACTTGAAATGAAATAGTAGTGTTCTTCACATAGTATGTCTTTGGCTATCTTGACTTTTCCTTTGCCTCTTCCTTGATATTAAGCCCCAACTGATTTCCTTCCATTTAAAAAAATATTTTATCAACGTAAAACTCCCTGTTCTATGATGCAGTAAGAAGAGAAGTGCTTAAATATACAATAGCAAATTTCCTTCTCCTGACAGTTGTTTCTCCTCTTTTTTGCGAGTGCCAATTGAAAGGGGAAGTTGAACATTGTTACTAGCTTTTATACCCTTTTACCGTATCTCCATTTCCTTCCTTCGGTTCATGCAGCAAGTTAAATAATTTGCATTTCTATTTTCAGGACAGCTTTATCAACAACTGTATAAGTCCTGTCCTGTCTCTCATTATCTCCCCTCAACTGAGTTTTCCATCTGGGGCCCTTTCGAGGTTTGTCCTGTGCCACAAGCTCATTGATCTCATGTACACCTTGGGGCTCCGTCTGGGGTTTGAGAACACGAGGAAATACCTGAACAGCATTATGCTGCGCCTGTTTGACACGTTCAGCTCTCTCCATGGGCAAACCTTCCAACTGTCAGAAACTATCCCAGTGGAAAAGTCGAAAGCTGGAAAGGAAAAAGGTAATATTACAAAGCTCGACCTGCTCTAATGGCCACCAACAAGTATAAGACAATCACTTGTACATATGGCCAGTTCCCATTTCCTCCCTTAGATATTTTGTTTACATTATAATGGCACAGTGTAGGACTAGGATTGCCATTTTTCTCCTTAACAATCATTGGCCATCTTCATCTGTTTCTTTGATGAATCTGTCATTTGACAAAACAAAACACAATTTTTTTGTTTTTGGTCAATAATAGCAACAAGACAATTTGGGTGACCCACAAATTGAGTACCAGTGGAATATTGGTTGATACACTGGGAATCGTTATTTCACCTAAACCGTATAGGTGGCATTGAACATACATGTTTTAAAAAATGTAATTTAAAAAAAGAATGTTTGTACAATGACAAATAGCAGGTAATCCTTTCAGAATAATTTGGAAAGACGGTCAAGAAGTTGCCTGGCTTCAAACTAGTTTTGAAAATTCACTATTGTCATATATTGGACTGGGATCCTAATGGTAAGAGATCAACGGGAAGGCTAAGCGGTACCTGGAGGAGAGTAATAGAGAATGCTGTACAGAAAAATGGAAGAACGTTGAATAACTAGCAAAAAGCTATCCCAGGATAGGGAAAAGTGTTTGTCGGTGGCATATTCCCTGATCCAGGGTGAGAAAGGCAATGGTGAGGATTTATCGTTCAATATTTGCTTTTCTTGGATGTACATTTAACACATTGTTGACACACTAATTTCCTTCTATCCTTCCAGAGGAGGACTTTTGTGGCTCTGATGAATCATATCTGACTATCAAAATGGATGATCTGACCCACCAATACAAGATTGGATCTCCTGTTGATCTACGCAACCTGAAGTCTCCCCCCTTAAGACGTCTCAGCAAAATGCATAGTCTCAGCTCAATAGGAATTATAGATGAGAAAGGTAGATACTTTAAAAAGATGACTTACTTATAATTCTCTGGAATTAATGAGATGCTTTTTGTTATATTATATGACTTACTTTTTGAGTCTTGAGTCTTGCGGTAGTAGATCTAGATATAGTTGATGTTGGTGGGGCCCCACCTATTGGTCTTCTGCTAGTTCTTGATCAGCCGATGTTACTTGTTTTGGTTTCAGCGAGTCAGTTTACTCTCGCCCTTGCCCGAAGTCACGTGAGTGTCAGTCACATGATATGTCTGTTAGGCCTATGTTACAATGACTATTCTAAAGGTGCGTTCACTCTACATGTTCTATTCTAAAGGTGCATTCACTTTACATGTCTAAAGGTTCACTTACACCACACTTTTTATGGGACTTTGGGTATCAACTGTCTTGGTTTGTGGTAATTTTGCTTCTCTTCCATTACACAAGAGTTTAACAACTTGCTAGGCCCCGGCTATTTCAAAGTCAGAGCTCATAGGGACCACTTAGACAAAAATGTAGATGTTTTACTCTATCAACACGATTTAGATCATTTAGGTAGTGGGTTTTTACTCTGCCTGTCAGGGTCAACCTGGACCGAGAGGGATGCAACGTCCCAATAGAAAGATTGAGATACTCGATTAAAATTATTTGTTTGAGGAAATAGAACTCGGGTCTTCTGTGTGTGATAATAAAGTGCCTAATCACTACACCACAAATGTCTGTTTTGGGGACTGTGAAGACAGAAAAGCATGCCGAGATCGTTCTATAAGGAAATATTACTTAGATATTTGTGCCTGCTAGTTCTACAAAGTAGAAGGCAAGAATAAAAGGAAGTGATCTAACAGAAGATGGGAACAAGACATAGAAGTCTGGCTTCGAACTAAAGCAACTCAGGCAGGTCAGAACTGAATGATATAGTTGTTTTTCCTTCCGACAGAAGATTATGTGGACTCGAAGAGTCAAGTGAGCAGTTCAGAAAAAAATCGGAAAGAGCTGAAGTGTGTTTTCTGCCCGGAGCTGGCTCAAGCTTGTTATATTCCTCTGTGCAGAATTTTTGGCAGGTATGTGTAGTTTCATTAAGTTGCAACATTGCTTCCTGCTTTTATACTGTCTTGAATTTTTGTATACACAGTATGATGATAAGAGTGTTGTTATTTTCTTTTGAAAGGCCATGGTTTGTTTGGCATAAAGATATAATTTGTTTCTCACATCAAGCTGACCATAATATGTGATTGAGAGTGAGAACGTACTTTGTTTTATTATGTAGTACGAATATTTATTATTATGTGCCCCTGATTTACCGCTACTAGAGTAGCTGCGCTTATTTAATTGTGAGCTCATCACGTTCCCTTTTGTTGCTGTTCTTATTCTTTTCGCAACTGTTGATTCACTGTGTATCTGCTGTCCCGTCATGTGAGTTTTTGTTTCCCAAATAATTATCTATTGAAAACTTACCTCAATGCTGTGGCTCTGTTTCTTGCGTAAAAAGTATTCTTGAATGTTGACATCTTTCAAACTAAATTTAATGTTTTCAGTAACTCTTGCTTAACAAAACCCCCTTTGTCTTGACATCTTTCAAACTAAATTTAATGTTTTCAGTAACTCTTGCTTAACAAAACCCCCTTTGTCTTGACATCTTTCAAACTAAATTTAATGTTTTCAGTAACTCTTGCTTAACAAAACCCCCTTTGTCTTGACATCTTTCAAACTAAATTTAATGTTTTCAGTAACTCTTGCTTAACAAAACCCCCTTTGTCTTGACATCTTTCAAACTAAATTTAATGTTTTCAGTAACTCTTGCTTAACAAAACCCCCGATGTCTTGACATCTTTCAAACTAAATTTAATGTTTTCAGTAACTCTTGCTTAACAAAACCCCCTTTGTCTTGACATCTTTCAAACTAAATTTAATGTTTTCAGTAACTCTTGCTTAACAAAACCCCCGATGTCTTGACATCTTTCAAACTAAATTTAATGTTTTCAGTAACTCTTGCTTAACAAAACCCCTTTTGTCTTGAGTTTTCAATAACTCTTGTTTAACTCTTTTCCTACCAGGCCAAAATCCACCACTGGCCCAGGGCTTTTCCCTGACCTATTTTTACTCCCCTACCCCACCAAAGGAAAATGTCAAAACATCCAACTAAACACACACAAACCACATCATTTGGACATCTAACTGAAGGTTAAAAAATAATCTATCAGATGGTGATACAATATTGAAGATTTAATCCAATTATATTAGTTTGGGGTTTCTAAAAGTGATTATTATGCATTATCGAAGGTGTCATATGAAATCAACAATTTTCCAGCTTTGAGAGGTCATATCTAAAAATGTACAACAACAGCATCATTCAAACTTCCCAGGTAGGTTGATTCATGTAATGCAAAGAAATACTGAAAGTTATGTATGTGTACCTAATATAGAAGTGAAAATATGAGACATATACTGAAGTCAGGGGAGCGCTTTTTTCTCTTTTTCACGTTTCGAAGGGGATAAAAAAAAAGCCCTGACATGACTAAAAATTGTCTCTCAGTGCTATATTTTCTTTCGTACCTGCTAACAGGAAGTCTATTCTATTATTTTGAAAACGTGAATCGGCCGAGAATTTCGTGTCCTTTCATTACTGGATTGGAATAGATAGCGAGCCACTCGAGGCGTATTTTGCGGATCTCGGTCTAGCAGGGCCACCTCGCAGTAGGGAAAGTGTTAAGAAAACCCCCTTTGTCTTGACATCTTTCAAACAAAATTTAATGTTCACTATTTCTCCTACTTAACAAAATCCTGTTCGTCTTGTCCCAGCATCCACATGGAGGAACACCTACACAACGATGACCTGATCAGGCAGCTCTGCTCACAGCACGACAGAGAGACTGATTCTGGCTGCCCCGCGATGGAGGATCTCACACCAACAACAACAGCCTCAGAGAGTGCCACTGTTAAAAGTGATTATTTTCTCACATATTTGTCATTTTGTCTCAGTCAGTGCAGTTAAGATTATTGTATTGATAAACATGTTTGCTGTCTCTTAGAGGTAGCTTTGTGAATTTGAAAGGTATTTCGTTTGTTTTTTATATTATACACATTTTTGAGTGAGTGATTGAGTTGTCGAGGAAAAGGTTTCAAAACGAGAGAGAAAGTAAGGAGGAGGGTGAGTGGGACAAACTGTGTGTAGTTTTTAAATGAATTTCATTGCCAAAGTGGATAAGAAAATACATTTTTTCACTGCTATCATGCTATCATCATTACCTTTTAATCTCCTCAGGTAATCATTTCCCTCTAGTGAAATGTTTATCCTTTTACTTGCACACATCAGTGGCTGGATGCAAGGCTCTGACAAATGCCAAATTACACAATTTTGCTGAAATGAGACAGGTTTGAATTCAGAGGTCTTGCCTCTTAAATAACTGCACAATGTTGAAATGGGAGCTTTTTTGCATGCTTTATTGGGGCTTTTTTGGGGTACCCTTATGGCCATGTCAAGTTACAGGGTGCCACCACCATTTTTCTTTCTGTTAGTTACTTCTGTCTGTCTTGTCTGACTTTTTCCCCTTGTACTAAATTACCATCATTGTGTGGACGTGCTTTTCTTTACTCTTGATCCAGCTCAGACTGTTACCTTAACAAACAAAGGACAACAACTAAAAGCTTGTTACTTTTTCACAGATGACCTGCAGTCCCCGTTGGATGATAAAGGGGTTGTCAGCGGCATCGGGAAAAACGTAGCTGTAGTTGGCAACAGGATCCAGCTGAATGAGACACCTGCCAGCACCCCAACTCAGCCGGAGGTCGGTCAGTTTGGTCGTGGCTACAAGCACTCTGGGATACTTTCCATTCACCTGGAGGACCTCAGATCGTGAGTTGCTTTTTTTTTTGTACCTCTTTTGTTTTGTCTCAGAAACTCTTTAAAACTTGGAAGTGACTTTATTTTATTTAGTTTTGCACTGTCCATTTTTTAAATGAGAAATTCAGTGAACCTCTCATTTCATCGTATTACTGTTTGCCTGTTTGCCCTCCTTCAGATACTGTTTGATGTAGCTGACATTTCCCGTTGTCTTATGTTATTTTGTTTTTAGCTGTTCTTGCTCAAGGTTTATTAGGATGTCATGGCACCTTCAATACTTTTGTACTAAATTTTAATTCTTATATTTCAAACTCATGCAATATGCTTTAGAACTTTTCTGTAGTTCATTCTTTTACATGGTCTTTGTATTTTTTGGCTTGTTTTTTTCTAACAGGTCGGAAATGGAACAAAACCAGGCGCGACATTTGCGTGGAAATTGGTTAGCCTACTGGGAGCGAGAACTTGGTAAGGAAGTTTCCTTGCTACCGTCATCCTGATTATTTCATTTTTCCTCTGTTCAGTGGTTATAATGGAAAGTTGTTGAGTACCTAGCATGATGGCAGGTTGGTTATGGTACTGAACTGGACAACTAGTACAAACTTTTTAAGGTCGTCCTTACTGAAGCAAAACACAGAAGAATAGTATGCTATTTGTCTCAGTTAATGTTAAGGAGAATCACAGTTTCTAATGTTTTGAACTCAAACCCACCTGTAGCACTAGTTTCAATTATGGTAGAAAGCGACTAGTAAAGTTTACAGTTACTGCCAGTAAGACCTTTGCCTTTGGTATAGATTTATTTTTACATCACTCTGAGGCCCAAATTTCATTGCTTTTTTGTAGGCATTTGGATGAGAGGACTCTTAGAACGTGACTCGTGTGTCTATTCATAGTTTGTGGCAAGACTTATCTTTTTTTTGGAAGATTTCAGAATTGCTTTTAAAATCAAGTTTCATTTGCAACAAAGAATTAAAGAGGAAGAAGAATTTGAAAAATGAGATCACTTTAGTTAGGGTTGTTCTAAACTTTAATTTGTGTTTGTTCTAATTTTTTCCCCCTCAAATGAAACAAGCTGTCAAAATAGAAATTAATTTCATATATGTATGCAAGATAATTTCTTAAAATTGAAGCTAGCTATTTTAAAAACTCTTTGTCTAATTCTCTTTTCACAGGGTTACATGAAAGAGACACAATGTTCAACTTCATGCAGATTGAACTGCAGACGTACACAGGTTAGACAACATCTCTTTTGATGAATTTTATGTTTTGTTTTATTCTGTTGCTGATGACTTTATTTTTTCTCCTCTTTTCTTTTGCTTTGTTATTATTTTAAACTTTCTCTTAATCTGGATGATTCCTGTGGGAGAAAAGGAGGGGGATTTGGGGATTGGGGGGAGGGATAGAAGAAGAAGAGAGAGAGAAGGAATGTGAGAAAGAGAGGGTGGGGAGAGAGAGAGAGAGAGAGAGAGAGAGTGGGCGGAGATGGCTATATCATTATTTTTCCTTTTTATTATTATTATTATTGTAAATACTCTTTTAATTGATATTTTTATTTACTGTTATGATTATTATTTTGATCGTTGTTATTACTATTGCACCACGTCATCTGGCCAGGTCATACGAGCAGCATCCGCTCAATCTACACGATGGACACGGAGAACTGCTTCATCTCTGCCAGCAAAGACAAGACGGTCAGGTTGTGGTCCATCAACTGCTGCGGGGACGGTTCGAGAAAGTAAGTGGTCACTCCCTTTGGAGTTTTTGTGAATTGATTTTTAATGTTAAATATCTTCTAAATCTAAGGCAATTCAGTCAGTTGAAGAGATGACGTGGGTTTCTTGTTGAACTTATTTTTTGCATCTTGTCTTTAATATTTTGAAAACAGGGCAGCTTTAGTCAGCCTGATTTTGTGTCGATATATGTCGCTCTCTTGATAATTATGTTTGCAAGCAGGGATGGTTTGAAAAAGTAAGAGAACACTCTGGGTTTTCTGTTGCCAGTCTTTCACCCTCAAGATCATCTGATTCAGAGTGAAGAGGAGATGGATTAAGGAAAATGATTTGATTTAGCTCTAATAGTGTTTGTGTTTGGTTTTGTTTGGTTTTGATACATTGTTAACCATATCCGTATGTCGTGTTTTACTCTTGTATCAGTACGACGTGGGGATCTCTGTGCCACTACTTTTCAAAGAGGAAATTTACTCATTAATCCGATCCGTACGCTTTGCATAGCAGTCCGTCAAAATGATTTTTTGAGAAATACTGAAAGTTTCAGAGATCTTCGTACTAGAAGCATTCTAAAATGTGAAGAATACAACCCTGGAGGTACAAAATTACCTCAGAGCGTACAGATAGGGTTAATTGTTATGTTATGTCATATTTTGTTGCATTATTGATTTTATTATGACTGATGATAATGGTTACTGTTTTTAATCTTTAACTTTTTAAAAACTGCATGAATTTTGTTGGGAGGACTTTTCAGGGCCTTTTCTTTTCATTTATTTGCAAGCTTGGACAGTCTTTGAAATGAAATGCACTCTCTCTATTTTGTTGTGCACTGACTCTCCCCTCCCCAAATTTTTTTTTTTTTTCTGAGTTAGACTATTAGCAATAACTTGGTGTCTTTTTGTTCTAAATTGTCGCAGGCAGACCAGTCAGTTCTGTTACTCAAGACACAAGAAGTCAGTGTTCTCTGTGGCGTATGTGGAGAGCATGAGGCTGGTGGCTTCTTGTGATAGCACAGTACACGTAAGACAATAAATTTTTGTTTTAGTAGAGGTTTTACAGCGCTCGCAACTGCATAAGGTCATATGAGCGCCATCAGTTTGTTTTAATACAAATAACCTTGAACTTAAACCGCACAAAGTTATAATATTTTCAGTTTTAGAGAACATAACACTTTAAAGTTGAAAACTAACTTTATTTTGATGATTTTTCTATGGTACCGGGTACTCTCTTTTACCCCTTACAGCTCAACTCACGTATATTTCCTTCACAAGTTTTTGTTCTGCTGGCCCCAGTCTCTTACATTTCCCTGACAGAACATCACCCATCTGAAACCCAATTGTTTATTTTACAATATTCTGTTTAACTTTCTCTGAAAAATATTCTTCATATTAGTACTAAAACTTTTATTTTTAAAGCAGTATGGAATTTTTTTTTTAATGAATACAAAAAATTGCAGACCTAATCAGTATTAGCTGGGCCTGAAGAGTCAAGGACTCCTGTATTACCTGGACTAGAGGGAAGTGAGGGCTAAAAATAGTCCAGTGCTGTGACACCATGAATTATTGAAGTATCAGAGAGAAAAGATCTACGAGAGTAAAGAAAACAATCTAATTCTTCATCAGACTGTTATGATTATTTTTATCTTTTTTATTATTATCATTATTATCATCAACAAATCATTTTCATTAGTATTATCTTTGTTGTTATTATAATGAGACAATAAGTAGTAGTAGGAGATGGTGGAGGAGGACACAAAAGCCATTTTGTAGTAGTAGTGGTAGGAGGAAGAAGAGGAGGAAATGTTTGTCATAAACTCATGGGAAACTCATCATTTGCTCTGAAGAGGCACTTGAATGATAGATTTATCAGACAATCACCCCAACCAATGAACAGTATCCATTAGGAAGTTCCGCATTTTTCATCACATTTCCAGAAAGGGCCTCAGATCCATACCATAACTTAAGGAATCATTGTAAAATAAAGGTGAGGGGTGGGGTAGGGGGGGGGAATGTCTGCATACTATCTGTTTGACCATCCAGCCAGCTGTCTTAGTGACTAAACTGTACTGTGTTTTCCTACGCTAGGTCTGGGACCCTTACACTGGAGTCTCAGTCAGTCAGCTAGAGTCGCCCAAGTATGCTCCAGTCGTCGCCCTTACTGCTCTACCAGCTCCGTCTTCACTTGTTGCTATGGCAACCACTGAAGCCACTCTGAGGTAACGGTGTTTCTTTATTACCTATGAACATGCATCCTTATTTTGTGCTATGAACTATGAACATTTTTCTTACGCGTTGAAACTCTCTGCCCAACATTCAATGACAATTTATTTTGTCGCACATTGAATGAGAGTTTAATTTGCCAAGTACCATGTTTAGCAGTGCAAACTCCTATTTTTGACTTCTGTTGTACAGCCAGACAGGTTTCTACCATCTTTCTTGACTCTTAAGCTTTGAAGTCTAAAATCAGTATAGTAGTTTGTTTTTCTCTGTGTTAGTGCCACTTTTACTGTAAGCCTGAAGTCTTTCATATTTTCAGTTTTATTTCAGTTTCACAGCCACTGTACCGATTCAGGGTACTATGACCAAAGAAGGGACTTTAACATGTTCTTATGTACAGTAGAATTGTAAATGGGCTGACTTATCATTGTCATGCTCATACTGTGCCGGAACAACATAGGGGAGCTGCTGCTTTTTCTTTCTTCATCTTTACTGTTGTCATTTTCCTCTATTTCTTTTGTATGTTTGTTTCTCTCTTGTGAACTGCTATTTCTGGGGTGCCTTGATAGTCGAAGCAGACTTTGTGCTGTTGAGGCTAGAGAGGTGAGCAGAGTAAGCCTGATTCCCCGTTAGGACTTCTCTGTTGACATCCACCCCTTGGCACTCATATGACCTTTTGTAGTTGTGAGCGCCCTAAAACCTTACTAAAACAAAAACACACAGGGTACTATGAAAAAGAAACATTAACAATTTTGTTTGTCTGGAGGTTTTTTTTCATGATGTCATAATTATGATTAGGATTAGTTATTGCATTTATATTGTGCATATCCATGTCGGTTAACACGCTCTGTACAATTGACAGTTATTATTGCACCAGGAGACCCTAGAAGACTCTGAAACATTCTCGGCTTCCCCAGGAAGCATATGGAGCAAGCAGATGATTAAGTTAGATACCTTTTCCCTCTTGGGTGAAGGGAGGCAAATTTGTGTAAAGTTCCTTTCCCAAAGATAATATGACGGGGCTCTCTGGGATTTGAACTCATGATATTTGAGTGACGAGCCCAATAACCTTACCATTTGTTCTCCACCATGTTTTGTTTATGAACCTTTCTTCAACTCTGAGTAAAATAACAATTGAAGAATCGATGAAGATGTAGCCCAAAGTTGTTGGGTTTTTGTTTTTTTCTATTGATTTTAAGATATTTGCACAGGTTTCTTGACATGAGGACGTCCAAGTACACACATGGCTTCCGTTGCTCTGTGGGAAACACAGGTAAACTGCATGCTGTCTTGTTACATCAAAGTAGGTTATGGCTTGTTTCTGATTATACTTCAGAGCCATCTTTGGAAAAAAATGTTTGTCAACGGTGTATTGTTGATCAGACCTTCGGCCAACTAAAAAAATACCAAATGAGACATGGCGCTTGTTAAGAAAATAAGAAAGTCCTGGATTCTTCACTTTCTATAAAAGTAACCTGAATATTTTACCTTTCTATAAATCACCTGAGCATTATGAAAGTGTTTTTCCCTTGTGTATATGGCCAGAGCAATTTGTAAATGACCTGAACATTCTGTTCTTACATGAGCATTTTGTAAACGACCTGAGAGTTGTGTAAATGACCAGAGTGTTTGCCCTTCTGTAAATGATGTGAATGAGCATTTTGCGTTTTATTTGTCTCCAAATGACCTGAGGGTCTAAATGACCTGAGGGTATTGCCCTTTAAGAGAAACATGGACATTCCGCCCACTTATAAATGACCTGAATGCTTTGCTATTCTGTAAATGACCTGAGTGTTTTTCCCTCTATAAAACAATCTTCTGTATAAGCGTGTGTTTTTTTCTATAAATGATCTTCTATAAATGATTTGAGTATTTTGCCAGACTGTAAAAAAACTTCTGTAAATGATCTTCTACAAATAACTTGACTATTTTACCTGACTGTAAAGAACTTCTGTAAATGATCTTCTTCAAATGACTTGAGTATTATATTTGACTGTAAAGAACTTCTGTAAATGACCCTCTATAATGATTTTGGTATTATTTTACCAGGCTATAAAGAACTTATATAAATGATCTTCTATAAATTACTTGAGTATTTTACCTGAGTGTAAAGAACTTCTGTAAATGACCTTCTATAGATGACCAGAGCAATTTACCCTGCTCTAAATAAACTTCTATAAATGACGCATGTGTTTTACCTGCCCAGGTCTGATACGCTGTGTGGTGGTCAGCCCGAACAGTTCCTGGATCGCCGTCGGTTTCTCCACGGGCTACATCTACATTTTGGACATCAACAGTGGGATTCTGCTCAACTTCTGGAAGGCTCATGATGGGGAGATCTTACAGGTATGTGCAGATTGTGTGTATAGATGATGTGACTATGGTGATTTAAGTCTGGTTTTTGGGTTGTTGTTGTTTTTTTTGAGGAGGGCATAAATTTGTCTGTAGATCCATATTACGTGTGAACCAGAGGTACAACCCCATTAGTGGTAAGCAGAGTGACATTGTAATTCATTGTGTATTTGCTCCTGTACATTTGGTTTATACTACTTAAGTGTTTTGTTTCCTTCTTTTTCTTTTCGACCACGTCCTTTTATTTTGCTCTTACTACCGGGGTCAGTACATCGTCTTTTGAAAGTCATGATGTTTAGTTTGTGGACTTTGAACGTTTAGTCATTTTTCTTCAAAGAAAAATCCTTCACAACATTCCCCTCCTATATCTATTGTATACACTTGTAGTGTACTTGAAATGTTGAATCATCAGCTTTTTGTTTTGTCCTCATTGGGTACCTTAATTACCTTGTGCATGCAAATGGACACATAGAAATACACTTAAGGACAACCTTGCTTCAGGGCAAAGTAGAGATAAAGAGAAATAAGGGAAGACCTCCTGCATTGTACAGTGAATATATGAAAATATGACAATGGTGCTCACCTTTATGAAGTAATTCATCAAAATAGAGACCGTAAAGATGGAGGTCTGTTGTGGCAAGGAGTAGGGTACTGAAGGATGGACGTGGCCTTCTTGACAAGTGACGGGTGAGTACCAAGGGGTATCAAAGTGGTCTTTTTCTCTCTGAGGCCAGGCACAGTGAATACACTTTATTTACTGATTTTGTTGCATGTACTTTTATCTGTGGTCTGTCCATCTATCAGATGAAGGCATACAGCAAGACCCGGCTACTGTCCTCTGCCTTTGACCAGACTATCAAGTTATGGAATGTGGACAGTGGTCAAGAAGTGTGTGCGGTCAAGCAACAGTCAGAGCCAATCCACTGCTTAAGCCTGTACAGAGACCAACTCCTCAGTGCGACCACAGGCAACAGGATCTCAGTCTATGCCTCCATCTCTGACTCCGTGAGTGAACTTTCTCTTTTTTTGTGTGCTACTGAGACTCGAGTATGATTCCTGAGTGGGGAAGTTTTTAATTGACCATTTCCATCATTCTGCTTGCATGTTGTATCCTTCTCAGCCCATGATAACCCAGACACGTAGGATTGAAGCAGCCTGCCTCTTAACTGATCAAAATTGTATGGATGGGGGTGTAAAAAAATTACAATTAAAAAGAATTTTTTTTAAAAACATGACTGTTTTCACCTTTCTCTTTCAATTATTTCCTGTAGGTCAAAATCAAATACCTTGAGCAGTTCTAGGAAATTGAAACCTTATGAAAAAAGATCTATACCAAGTCAGGTTCTTTAGTACTGGATATATTGTACAATTTGGGACAGTAGTAGACCACTTGGTGTTAGAGATACAAACCAAAGTTGACATTTTGTGTCATATTGAGTTGGGATTTAGAAGTCATTATGCCAGAAATCATATCAAATGCAGGAGTAACAAATGTTACTTTGTCATTCAATACTTTGAAAGTGACCTTTACGAAAATAACTATTGTACGTCCTCAATCCTGATGTACATCTTGGCGTATTTAGACACGTGCACCATCACCTCAGGACATGAAACACAGACCAATGTGGCATAAACTCTTTCATCTGTAGTTATGGAATATTGATGCCTACTGTTGCTACTGCTTCTACTGCAGATGCTACGTAGTATTGTGTTGTAAAGTAAAGTAATCATGATGTAACATTATAAGTACCCACTTTCAGTGTTGCATAACGAGTACTGTAAGTGTAGTCATTAGTATTGGTACCATAGAGTGCAAGGAAAGAGGAACGAGTACACAGAGGACAAAGGTGTCAACGGCAGCACAAGCCACAATCATGTAACGTTTAAGTCTTATTAAACTCTGGAACACAACCCGAGAAGTTGCTTAATTTATTAATGTTTAATGTTGTTGGTATTCTGCTGTCATTGGTCTGTAGAATAGTAAAAACACATTACCCTACTGTACAGTACTATACCACACCATGTTGTTGTCAGTGGAGTGGGGTTTTTTTTTTCATTTTACTTTTTATTTTCTGCAAGGGCTTACCGTATCTATCAATTTACATATATTGGGGGGGGGGGGGGGGTGGTTCAATTTACTTCTTCATTTTTTTGTGTCAGTTCTGAAACAGATGTCATTTCATGATTTTGTTTTATTAACCTCACTTTTTTTATGACATGACAATCTTTTTCAGACGCCTTTTGCCAGTTCCAAACTTCGATCTGCAGCATTCAAAGGTGTCCTCACCTACATGTCGGTGCTACCACTGAACAAGGCTCTTTTGCTGGGTGCAGACAATGGCGTCATTAGACTCATGGCCTAAAAGACTGTTTTGTGTTATGCAGTTAAATTTTTATATCCTTGTGGAAGGTATTTGGATTATAATACAATTGGAGGGCGTAAAAGTAAAGTTGGACCCCCCCCACTCCACCCACCCACCTATCGATTTGCTTGAGCTGGTGGGAAGCATTGAGTGACATTTTTGGGCATGGAAGTCAACGTTGCATTGCTGCGATGTCTTACCGGATTGGGAAACAGCATGCTGTAATCGTCGAGATGTGCAAAGACACGAGGGGTTGAATTTTACTTTTACTGTTGAAGGGTTGCTGAAGGAGAAGAAGAAGAACATTGTTCAAAACCCAGACCTGTTTGGTTTTGTCACAGTTTTGTCATTGCTGGAATTATTTTGTAATGGTGAGAACTATTTTGTTGGCTTCTTGATCTGACTGTATATTGTATACCATCCACTGTAATTGGCAACATTTGTGAAAAACCAAATTATTATAGCAATTTATACTGTATTCTAATGGTTTTCATTAGCAACCACAAAAATGTGCCATGTTTCTTTTGAGAGAAACGTGACTGCTGGAATTTCAGTGTGTTATTTACAGATTTGTTCCTGTGCTTTGTAAGTAAACAGACAGTCTTTTATATGTGAGATTGAAGTCGAGTGCAGTACAACCCTGAAGTTATACTTTGTTTTTGAAAAGATTGAAAGCTTTGCCTCAATGAGAATAAACCAGAAAGCTATGTGATTTAGAATATGATAAATGGCAATGTAATAATGTTTCTAAGAATGCATCTTGTTTATGTTAGTAATTTTTAAAAAGCAACAATATTTGTATGTTTGTTAAGAACTCAAGAAGTAGCAGTTTGGTTTTGTTACTATGAATTGAGTGAACAACATAATCGGTTTGTAAGGAACATAAGATGTTTCTGAGAATGAAGCAAGCATCAGTAGTTATTTTTTGAAACTGAAATAAAAACACTTTCAAGAAAGGCCAGCTGAATAGAAGAAAAGTGAACCAACCTATTATTTTATTGTTTCAAACAGAAAATCAAGGTGTAGGCAAAGAAGTTGGGAAATAAGGTCAGAAGCCTGATGGATTTCTTTTCTTTTTTTTGTACGCACTTTTCCAATTGTAAATTGTTGAAAGTGTTTGTTTGCTTACTACTCAAAGGGATCAGAGGTCTTGTGTTGACTCTTGACCAAGAAGTTCTTAGGTCTTTAATTTATTGCAAGCGGAATCTGCTTTCTACTTATTCAAAGGGTAATAGTGGTCTTGCATTGAGTAAGAAGTACAAAGTTCTTTTAGTCATTGCAAACTGAATCTACTGTGTACTTACATAAATGTGTTTCAGCCTGATCTCACTCCTTACTTGTCTGACAAAACAACTGTTTATCTATATATATATGAGTTATGTTCTGAATTCTCTTTTTTTTTCTTTTTTTTTTTTTGAATGCATGAAGATTTGATTTAACTTCTGCTGTTGATATTATGGCTCTTGCTTCCGACAAAATTTTTACTCTTTGTTTTGACATCACAGAGTTGGCTGAAATATTTCTTGAGCTGTTTTCATCAGTCATGGAATGGTCAAGTGCCTGGCTTATGTCTTTGTTGATGAGGAAGGACTATTCTTCCCTGGTTATTATAAGGGCAATATAAACAGTGTCCGTTTTTGTTTATAAATTTTCTTTACATTATTAAAATTGATAGCACAGTTACTATCATGTAAACCATAAGGCAAGGTAATTACTGGTTGTCACTGATACTTTTGCTGTAGTTGTATTTTATTGTTTTATACTGTTCATCGTTTACAGTTGTTTCATGAGGGTGGAATGGACATGTAGAGAAAGTTGGGTCTGAAATATAGGGATGTAGGGAAGTTCACAATCTCATAGAACTTTTTAATCTGGTTGAGCGCAATCATATTACTTGAGAGGCTGAAGTGAGGTGGGTGGAGAAGGGGGAGGGGGAAGTCTGATCTTTTGTGTTGGGACTTCTTCTGATCTTGTGGTAGTGTGTTGCTGTGATGCTGAATCACTTAAGAATCTTTGAGAATAAAGAGCTACTCATAGAAAAGCAGACATTGAAGTAGAGCCTTGTCACATTTTGCATTTTGCAAAACTTATGACCAATGTAACAGCATGTTCTTTACTGAGTTTTCTTCAGTTAAAAGAACATTTCAGGTGTACAGTGTTTAACTTTTGGATATGGAATATGTGGAGATATATGGATGGCTTTACGTCTGTAATACCAGGCTATCAGGAATGACAAGTTTACTACAAAAAGTTTGATAATGGGTACCTGAAAAATGGCCTGGTTGTTTGAAAAGATCGTGATAATAGTATCTTTTTAGTCAAGAGATGATGAAAGGAAATGTAAAAAGAGTTAGTTGTAAATTAAGGAGCAAATACCTCGTGGAAGCTGAATGGAATATTTGTAGTTTCTCCTTTGTATTCCTTGCTTTTAATTAATCTTCAGCTCCACTTTCATCCTTCATGGCCGTAATGTTCATTCTGTGAAGTAACTGCTCATATATAAACAAAACTAAAAAATCAAAGCTTAATTCAAACCATAACACATTCAGCCAGCATGAAACTGTCTGTTGTTTGAAGGTGTTTGTAAAATTCTTTAGAATTGCTGCTTTTTTATATTTGTACTGTATTACACAAATGTTCATCTCGTCAGCTAAACCTTTAAAAGAATCTGAAAGTGTATCACCGCCCCTTCAGCAAATCTTGTACTGAGATATACGGGTATTTTGATGTGGACAAACCTGGTTCAAATAACTAAAGGAACTTTCTTGTTAGACTTCCGTGGTTTGAGGAGCCTCAAAGCACATCACACACGTGGAGGGATTGTATCAAAATTGCAAAAAGATGGAATGTCCTGCTTCTGAATAACTTCAATGTCTTGACAGTGGCAGTAAATAGAAATCAAACCAAATCTAGTCATATATACATAGAGATTTGAAGGTAGCTACTCAAAGGAACAACAGATGAATTGAGAACGTACCCTGGTTGGGATCCAGTAATTGTGTTTGATAGTCATCTTGTATCATATGTCCTTATAGTGTATTATTCTCATAAAGCTGATTTCTTAGATATTTGCTGGACTGAACAAATGTATCGGTAACAAATAAGTTCCGACAGTAGTTTTGTATAACATGAAGATCTTTACTTTGTGTAATAAAATTGGAGAAAGTCAAAGTGTATCTTCAGGAGGCTCCCATGAATTACTACATCGATTGTTGTAGATCTAGCTGTGTTCTTCCAGTGCCATGTTCCTCATGTTTTCTCTTGTCTCTTACTGTGCCAGTTTATGATATTGTCTCAAGCAATAATACATATTTCATCCTCCATTGTAAAAAATGTTTTCAAGTGACATTGTTGTTGCAGTGAAGAGAGTACCTTTGTTTCACCATACATTACTGCCATAACAGGGTTGGTAAAAAAAATATTGGTATTGCTCTTTCTTCATTCGATAATTATGATATCGTCATGAAATATATTGAGGGACTTTTTGAAAATTCAACCAACATTAAATGTTCCCACCGTGATTTGTGTAATAATTTTTTCAAAGACATCATAATAGTATGTTCTCATTTTTCAGTCATCAAATTTGTCACAAATCTTGTTTCTGTCTCTCAGTTTGTGTGCAGTTCTGCAATAATTTGATTTAGTGACAGCAATAATGTATAAATGGCTTACTTCAGTATTGAAATGCTTAGTGGAGCTCTAAGTTCAACCGACCTTTATTTTCTGAAGTTAATAATTGATAGTTTTAATTTCTGATACTCTTTTACACTGTTTAGATTAGTTGGTGGTTGATGGGTGCGCTAGTGTGGTTTGATCCTTCTTTTCAGTCAGAAATCTTTTGTCATTATCTATCCTCCTTCTGGTTGTGTTTGCTACTCTCTTGTAGCGTCTCTAATCTTTGGCACTTATATGACCTAATTGTGCCATAAAACTTATTTAAAACAAAATGTTTAGGTTAATTTGAAGGCAGACAACAAGATATATCTTTATGATGTCAAGTTTAAAGTAAAGGTTTTTGTGAGGGATGAAGGAAATTTCTTTTGGCCAAGTTTGTCGATCATGTGCGCCCATGAATAATTTGTTTATTTCTTCCTCACTTTTTTTTTTTTCAGTATTAAACAGCGATCACAGTTGATTCATATTTGCAGACAAAATGCTGTTCTTAATTAATTCTCTAAACTGCAAGTAAAATGGTATCTTGTTCTAATGTTTACAATGTCTCTTTTTGTGTTCTGTGAATATTGCCTAAAAGATATTTCTGTCATATTTAGCAGGGTACTGACTTTAATATGTTTTTGAAAATATCTTGTTTTGTTTTATTATTGTTCAATTTCATTTTCATGTTAGCACAGAACTTTGTTCTTGTCAAACCACTTTTCCAAGTTACCAAAACCATAACCTCAGCGTCAGGAATGACATTGGCAATAAGGTATTTGTCCCTTGTTGTCCTCGTGGAAAGAGATTGATTAGTTAAGTTAACCTGCCAAAACAGGTACAGTCGGGCTTGGAGAACACAAACACGTTAAGGATTGACAAATGTGTTTGACACATCCATAATTCGGGTAAACATATAACTAGATATTAAAGAGCTATCAGTCAGGGAATGACAAATTGCACAAGCTATCAGTGATTTCAAGTTTTCCTAGTTTGTGTTATCTGTGCCCGCCTGTATTTCTGAACAGTGCATTTCAGCAACAACACTACAGATTCTTGATGCTCCTTTGGTTCATTGATGACATGTTCTCATCTCTAGATATCAGCACCTAGTGTTTAGTAGTAAAGCACTTCACCGTTCATGTGCAGAAGATGTGAGTTTGATTCCCATGTGGGGAGGTTTTTTGAATATAAAGTATATCCATCTGTTTGCTGAGACATTGTACCCCTCTCAACCCAGGATAGGCCTGACAGTCAGGGTCAAAGCAGCCAGCCTCTTAAAAGATCTCAATCCTGATGATAGGGCTTTAGATATTAACAATTACGTACATCATCAGTTGATAAAAACTTTCTAGTATTATACATTTGGGAACGATAGCAATAGCAGGAAAGGAGAGGATGACTTGTGGAAATTTGTGTTTAAATCATATAATGTGTCACGACGCGGT